GAGCACACTGACTACCAGGAGGCAGCTCCTGTGTTGAGCATCTGCCCCCTGGTGGTCAGTGCACATCATAGTGACCGGTCATTCTGGTCATTCCGCCACAACTAATTAGGCTTTTATTGTACAGATTTTATAGATAATACTGGAAGTCTTATCCAGAGCAATTAGGGAAGAAAAAAGAAATAAAAGATATCTAAGTTACAGGGTTGTACAATCATGAAGAAGTAAAATGAAGAAGTAAAACTGCCACTTTTTGCAGATGGCATGATTCTTTATATAGAAAACCCTAAAGACTCTAACAAAAAACTTTTAGAAAAACAATAAAAAAATACCATAAAGTTGCAAGATATAAAATCAATGTACAAAATCCAATGTGTTCCTTTATACCAGTGGTTCTCAACCTTCCTAATGCCGCGACCCTTTAATACAGTTCCTCATGTTGTGGTGACCCCCAATTTCAGTGTTACAAATTGAACATAATTAAAGCATAGTGATTAATCACAAAAACAATATGTAATTATATATGTGTTTTCCGATGGTCTTAGGCGACCCCTGTGAAAGGGTCGTTCGACCCCCAAAGGGGTCGCGACCCACAGGTTGAGAACCGCTGCTTTATACTAACAATGAAATCTCAGAAAAAGAAAGAAAAAAAAACATTTCCTTTTGCAATTACAACAAAAAGAATAAAACACCTAGAAATAAACTTAACAAAGGATGTGAAGGACCTATATACTGACTACTACAAGACATTATTAAAAGAAACTGAAAAAGACACAAAGAAATGGAAAGATACTCCATGTTCATGAATTAGAAGAATCAACATGGTTAAAATGGCCATATTACCCAAAGCAACACACAGATCTAACGCAATCGCCATCAAAAATTACAATGGCATTTTTTTAAAGAAAAGGAAAAAAAGTCATCAGATAAGTATGGAAACACAAGACTCCAAATAGTCAAAGCAATTCTGAGAAAAAGCACTTAAAATGAACCTTGAAATGTGTACTAAAGAAGCCAGTCACAAAAGGACAAATATTGTATGATTCCATGTATATGAAATATCCAGAATAGATAAATGTATACAGAAAGTAAATTAGTGGTTGACTAGGACTCAAGGGGTTTGGGGTTCGGGGCTGACAGCTAATGGGTACAGGGTTTCTTTTAAGGAGGATGAAAATGTTCTAAAATTAGACTGTAATGATGATTGTACAACCCTGTAACTATGATAAAAATCTTGAATTGTACTTTAAATGGGTTAAAGTGTATGGTATATGAATTATATCTCAATAAAGATATTTTAAAATCTAACCCATTAACTGATTAGTGGATCCTTTTTCTTTCCTTCCTAGAGAAATATCCTCTCCATTAAAAACTAAAAAGAAGAGCTCAGAGTGCTTTCTTGGGTTTGAAGCTATAAAATATCTTGGCTTTGGAAATATGCTTACATCTCTTTGCATTCATCTTCTCCACTTGATTTCAAATATCAATCATTTTTTATGAACTCCAATGAATGCAAAATATTTATGCCAGGATAAATAAATGCAAAATGTATCTACGCTCAAACTAAATCCTACAGATTACATTCTCTATTGCTCCCCAACAATAACTGTTCTCTGTTTTAGTACAAACTGACCACCTTTGTTAACAATCTTCTTTTGAGTACTTGCTACAGTGACTTTCAAACAACTAAAGCTCCACTTTCACAGGATCTCTTTGTTCTCCTAAGAAATACAGGGAGTATGGCATCAAATGACAGCCCAAACAATCTTTCCCTGTTAAAACTGGCTAAACCCATCTGCTAAGGGCCTAAGGACATCAGCATTATTCACTTGAGTGGGAATGTTATAGGAGCAACCTAGAGAAGAGACAATCTTGCTCTTGGTTAGGAGATAAAGGAGACAAATTAGAATATGGGCCAACTAATGGATAACGGGTTTAAAAAACCTAATTAGACTAAGGAATCTGTTGTCTGGAATATTTTTACTGATTGCAAAGGGAATCTGTATTTCGGGAGTTTTCCAAACTTTTTTTAAAATATATTTTTATTGATTCCAAGAGAGGATGGGAGAGGAAGAGAGAGATAGAACCATCAATGATGAGAGAGAATCATTGACAGGCTGCCTCCTGCACGGCCCACACTGGGGATTAAGCTGGCAACCCGGGCATAGGCCCTGACTGGGAATAGAACCATGACCTCCTAGTTCATAGATCAGTGCTCAACTACTGAGACACCCCAGCTGGGCCAAGCTTTTGTTTTTAAGTTTAGAAGAGCTTATATCTGATCAACATGCCAGGTACTGTGGGAAAATACAGAAAAATGCCTCTCAGAATCTAAAATATGAGGAGAAATTAAACATAGTCACTGAAGAGACTTAAGAATAACAAGGATAAAAATATACTATCAACTCAATGCACATTCTATATAATAAAAGCCTAATTTGCTAAGTGTCCAGTTGTCCATTCAACCAATCAAAGCGTAATATGTTGATGATATGCGAAGGTCGCTCAATCATTCACTATGATATGCACTGACCACCAGGGGGCAGACAGTCAACCGGTCAACCAGTGACTATGACATGCACTGTCCACCAGGGGGCAGACACTCTGACTGATAGGTTAGCTTGCTGCTAGGATCCAGCCGATCTGGACTGAGCGAGATGGGCTGGATCCGCCCTGGAACCCTCCCTGATCGTGCACCAGTGGGGTCCCTCGGCCTGGCCTGCACCCTCTTGCAACCCGGGACCCCTCGGGGGATGTCGGAGAGCCAGTTTCGGCCCAATCCTGCAGGCCAGGCCAGGCCGAAGGTCCCCACTGGTGCACGAATTCGTGCACTGGGCCTCTAGTTACTATATAATACTTAAAATATTGACTTGATTATGGAGAGGAAGATATTAAATGAACACTAGTTCTAGAAAGTAGGTGATGCCTCCTTAATACTGCCTGCTACTTGCTTTTATTTAAAGAAGGGTGCACAGGTCCAAGTAAGCAATTCTGTAAGGGAGAAAACTTATTTGTACTATTCACCAATTAATTCTAAACTCCTAATCTTGGTCGAACAAATTACCTGTTTTTTAAGCACAATTTAACTCTATTTCTTCAAGTGTCATCTCTGCTGGTTTGTTCTTCAAATTATTTAAGTTCACCCCTCCAACTGATACAAAGAACTGGTTTCTACTCTTAATAATGTTGTTTCTTAAGATTCCCTGAATTTGGAGTGATAAAGGAAGTACTTTAGGATCCAGACCACAACTTATAAGTAATGTTACAAATAATTTGGTCATTTCTTCTGCTTAAGTATTTTAAAAAGAGAGATTTTCCAACAATTCAGGGTAAACTCAACAATATTTCACTTTATGACACTATATGATCCACTCTGCTATATTCCAGTTCAAATTTCATTTCTAAATCTTTTAGACATTTCCCTTAATTTATCAAAAATCCTTCCTCTGGGATCAAATCTTTTCAATACAAATATTACTCACCAAATGACAATGTCACATCACTTGACTTCTACTGTGGACTCATATAGATGACTTAGGCCATTTGAGTTCTCAGCCACAATGGTCAATTATAGATATTTTTTTAAAGCTATTAACATTAATCTTTGCTTACAAATTACAGAACTTCATCTTGATATATGATTTCATAAGACACTGGAATCTTGTGTAACTATTTCAAAAGTCCACAATCAAGTTCTCTGAACCTCATAATCAAGAACTTGGGCAAGCTAATTGTGAAATTATAATCTTGATTATAAACAAGTTGAGCACTTCACTTGTACTTTCAATGATTATTTTTTTTTAAGTGATTTTTAAAAATTAGTCCTATGTTAATAGCTACTTCACATAGTGGACAGAGCTCTCACATATATATTCCTATTTGAGATGTTTTCTTTATGTTGCCACCCCAAAAGATTATTTAAATGTATTTGAATAAGAGACTATGGAGTAACATTATTTGTGTACCTTACTTGAACCTAGTCTGATAGCAACTCCTAAACACTCCAGAATTCAATAAAATTCTTGGTGAAGTGAACATTCAATTATAAAACAGCAGAATAATCACATCAGAGAATGACTACAACATATCACTTGGTTTAAAAAAAACACGCTAAAAGAAACGAAAAGATAAGAAACAAAAAAAGTAGAATAAGAAAAAAAAAGCTAGCACAAGCCTTTCCTGCAGGCAATATTCTCAGCTTCTCCAATCTGACTTTCCTCTTCCATTTTCAAAATCCTCCGACTGGATGGAACAAGGTCCATTGGTTTAGCTCACTCTTTGTGAGAATACTTTTTTCTGCACAATATATTTCTGATTTCTACATGAAGAGTCACCGTTTTTGCAGAAGCAATAGTTCTTACTACTTTTTAGATTCCACAACAGTTTAGCGAGGATTTTTTTTTTTGTAAATTACATGAAATTGGCCGAATCCAAGTGATTCCAAGGAGCAGAAAGACTTTGTAAATTCTATGTCCTCTTCCTCCAGCCCTCAACCCTACCCCTCCGCCCCACTCCTACCCCCCCCCCCCCAAAAAAAGTCAACAGAATGCTTTTGCATCCTTAGCAAAGGGCCAGTGTTCAAATCAAACGAAAAACTTTTATCTTTAAAACACGACTAAGAGGCGAACCAAGGTGGGCAGAGTGTAACTGAAAAGGCTGCAAGGAGTCTGACCACGTGCCCAGAACCCGGAACGGCTTAAATGACACGAGCCCCTGAGAGTTCGGTCCAGATTTCTTCCGCACCTACCAAGTGGCACTGTGGAGTCGCTGAGTTACGCCACGAGTGTGTTTAGCTAGCACTTAGAAACTCTGCAAGTCTAGGCGAGCCGGACATGGCTAAGGCGGCGGCCCGGGACGCAGCAGTTTCGGGAAGGAGGAGAGGAGAATTGGAGAAGGGAGGCCACGCGCTGGGCCCGGAACTGGTCGGCGCCAGCCAGGCCGGGGCCCCGGTGGCGCGAGCCGCTGCAAGAGCGAGGAAGCGGGCGGCGCTGGATCCGACTCACCTGCCCATTCACCGAGCTCTGGTCCAACCCCAGGCCCGTGACCCAACCCCCAGACTCGAAAGGCCATGAAGAGCGAGTACGAGATGCGCAGGGCCAGGTAGGCTACGGTGCCCGCGCCCACCCAGTACAGGAAGCCGGCCGCAGGGAGAGCGCTCTCCATGGCTATCAACCAGGCCTTACTACCCTCGAGAATGAAAAAAACAAAAAAAACTAATGAATGAATCCTGGAAGTGGCGCCCGTCGTGACGCAGCGGACGACTAATAGGCGCCGCTCCGACACCATATCTGCCTAAACCCCGCCCACAACGCCATATCCGTGCCACCATTGGTGATCTATTGTTTCCTTTGCGCGTATGCGCCAGCTATTGGCTAACTTCAGTTTCACTTCCCCGCCCATATCCCCTCCCTTGCGTTCATCGGGGCGGGTTTCCGTTCTAGAGAGGCTGATCCCCAGCCAATCAAGATTCAGCCCCGCCCTACACGTCACCACGCCTCGGGGAACTCGACGGAGGCCGCCGGTCTCACCCCACCAAATAACCCAGGTCTTTCATTGGCTGCAGCTGTCCTCGCGATTGCGGAAGACTGCACTCCGATTGGCCACTCAGACCCAGCGTGGTTTGAAGAGGGAACAGGTTGAGAAGCCACTAGTGAACAGCAGATTGTAGTAAGAAGCAGGCGTGGAGCCCGGGTGTTATTTTCAGCTCTTTAAAAAGGATTTTATCATTGTTAACTGTGCTGTGATGGTTCCCATTGTTGTAAGGATGCCTCAAGAAGTCAAATTAAAGAGTCACACTTATTGTAAATCCCGGACTATGAGGGGGCATTTCGCTCTCCCAGATCTCATAGTGATAAAATGGCCACAACACCAGATTTATATAGGCAAAGATCACAAAGGTATTGATTACATCCCAAGGTTTGGAATGAGGAACCTGGTTTGCAAAAGAAGCAGTTTATAGAAGCAGAAGCAGCATGTTATCTAAATTACAGTTTTTGGGTCTCCGGATCACTGAATTGACAGAAACACATTATCTAGAGCCCTCGGGTCTGGAATGAGAAATCTGCTCAGACTTAAGCATGTTATCTAAATTACAGTTTTTGGGTCTCCGGAACACTGAGTCAACAGGGACACGTTAACTGGAGCCCTCTGACCTTGGGATAACTGTGCTGTCCTTCCCAGGTAAAGGAAAATGTGCTTTCTAAGACCAGTATGACCACAACCCTTGGGATATTCACATTACAATCAATAGGGTATTTAATTGAATGGGATAATTCATATAATTCAGAAAATCAAAATAACTTTTCTATTATTTTAGCAAACAAATAAGTACAGGAACCAAACAGCAGGGTTAAAGTTAAACTATAGTTTCTACCTGAGATGATTGCTACCATACGTCACCATAAACCTTTCCAGATAAAGTCTTGCATCTGCTGCTCCTGTGCCTTCCCCACAGCACCTCTTCGCTCTGGTGGCACTCACTCATTGAGGGCCTTTTGAATGCCCGGCCTCCCTCCCCGGACGGAGCATTAAACTACAAACATAGTTCCCAGAGCCTTTGAGATCAAAGCAAATGGCTTCATGGAGACAAATTACTAATACACTATGACACAGAGCTGTAAGATGAATGAAAAATATAGGAACACAGCTTGGTGTACAATTAGTTTGGGGAAGGAACTCCATGTTTTAACTGGGCATTAAAGGATGATGTTTTTCTTTTACTTTCTTTTTTTATTTCCTTTGTTGTTGTTGTTGTTGTTGGAGGGAAGTGAGTTGTGAGGGGGCACAAAAGTGTGCAATATGGGAACTACCTCAGCAAAATTCCAGAGGAGTGAGTCCATAAAATACGTTTAAGAAATTGTGTAATGCAATAACATGCTTACCCTGTTGTCCTCCTATCAAGTATTTTTGTTTCCTTTTCTGGTATGGATTTGGGCTCATAAGGCACCTACTTTTTTTTCCTTTATCTCTTTCTGCCTAACTCCCACTCTCTTTTGAAGAATAGAGTGAAGAAATAAAATGGAGTCGCTATAGTCAAGATGCCAAATTACTAAAATCAAGTAGGTTGAGGCATGTGAAAACAATTCTATTCCCATTTTAACTAGACTGAAAACTTAAACTTTCAAACTTTCCAAATTGAAGTATGGTAGCAATCATCTCAGGTAGAAACTATAGTTTAACTTTAACCCTGCTGTTTGGCTTCTGTACTTATTTGCTTTGTTTAACAATAGAAAAGTTATTTTGATTTTCTGAATTATATAAATCACCCCATTCGATTAAATGCCCTATAGATTGTAATGTGACTATCCCATTGGTTGTGGCCATACTGGTCTTAGAAAGCACATTTTCCTTTACCTGGGAAGGACAGCACAATTATCCCAAGGTCAGAGGGCTCCAGTTAACATGTCCCTGTTGACTCAGTGTTCCAGAGACACAAAAACTGTAATTTAGATAACATGCTTAAGTCTGACCAGATTCCTCATTCCAGACCCTGAGGGCTCTATCTAGATAATGTGTTTCTGTCAATTCAGTGATCCGGAGACCCAAAACTGTAATTTAGATAACATGCTTCTTCTGCTTCTGTAAACTGCTTTTTTTTGAACCAGGTTCCTCATTCCAAACCCTGGGATGTAATCAATACCTTTGTGATCTTTGCCTGTATAAATCTGGTGTTGTGGCCATCTTATCACTATGAGATTTGGGAGAGCCAAAATGCCCCCTCATAGTCCCGGATTTGCAATAAATGTGACTCTTTAATTCGACTTCTTGAGGCGTCCTTGTGTGATTCGCGGGGTACATTACAACACAGTCTTGTATCAATGTGTGGATATATATCAAACCTCCAGAAAACCCTCTACCCTATGAAGGACTAAGGAAAGAATGTTCCTGTATCCCGACTGCCTGACATCCATTTTCCAGATCACCAGTCATCTAGACGATTGTCACATTGGACTAATCCATAGGCTAAGAATACAGAACTGATTCTTTTTAAGAATGTATTTTTTGCCCTGGCTGGTTTTGCTCAGTGGATAGAGCACTGGCCTGCGGACTGTAGGGTCCCAGGTTCGATACCTGGTCAGGGCACATGCTTGGGTTGTGGGCTTGATTCTCAGTAGGGGGTGTGCAGGAGGCAGTCAATCGATGATTCTCTCTCATCACTGATGTTTCTATCCCTCTCCCCCTCTCCCTTCCTTTCTGAAATCAATAAAAATATTTTTTAAAATGTACTTTTTATTGTAAGAACTCTTAGCTTTTCTTTCTTCTTCAGAACACTCTGAGTATTGCCCAGTCATGTTTTCAGTTTGCAAACTCTAAGATCCTTAAATAAATATTTGTAATTTATTTCTAGCCAAAGCCTCTGGGCTCCTTTTGAGTTCATTCAATATTTATCAAATTCATTAAGTATAACCCTAAAGCTGTACTGTTCTTCATAAACTGTCAGTTGTCAAGCAAATTCAGTCATATGAGTTGAGCTGGCACCATATTTTGTTTTAATTGAATTTGATCCCTTTGTCTGGGGCTGTCTCTCCAATTGAACTGAAGTCCCACCATTCCTCTCCCCCGGCCTCTCCCTCTTGCTCCCCGCTCTGACTACAGTATAGTCCCAAATTTATATATCCCAGCTTATTATTGCTCCCCACCAAAGGCACTCCAGATAGTCACTCCCCTTCTCCTTAGAATAGGGTGGGAGGAGGGGAGGAGAGATCTTATAAATTAAAAATACCTATTTTTGTTGCATTTGTATGTATGTCGATGGCCACATTAGAATTTATGATTATTGGGAACCATATGCTATGAATCCACAGGACATAGAACAGTTCCTGGAACTTAGGGGCCTCAATAAATGTCTGACAAATAAATAGAAGTGTAGATCCGTTCATTCAACAAATATTATTGTGCTCTAATCATGTACCAGTAACTGGACTAGGTACTGGGTATACAATAGTGAGCAAATGGTCAATTCTTAGTCCTCATCCTACTCTACCATACCACAGTCGGGGGGCCACTGTTTTCCTCAACAGCTGCTTCTTCCCAACGTCCTTTGCTGGCCCTTCCGCATGCTGGCCTCTAGTTGATGCAATACCCTTGGGCTCAGACCCCAGCTCTCTTTACTTCTCTACACCGTCTTCTTACATGGTTTTAACCACTCCCTTGTTAATATCAACTGTAAATTGATGATTTCCAAATGTCTCTGGCCAACCTCAATTTCTGCTCAGGTGTGTGTGTGTGTGTGTGTGTGTGTGTGTGTGTGTATCCACATGTCTATCAATATCTCCACTGAGGTGTAAAATAGAAATAAATATCTCAAACTTAAATGTCCAAAACAGAACTCTGCCCCCACCACACATACACATTTTTTCTTCCCATCTTTGTTAAAGGCACCACTATTTACCCTCTTTAAAGATCTAAAACCCAGAGATCAACCTTGAATCTCTTCTTTCCATTACATTCCCATGTCCAATTCTTCAGCAAATCTTGTTCACTCTACCTCTAAAATATATCTTTTTTTTCTTTTTTTTAAATGCAGGTGCTGGTTCTGCAGGTCTAGGGTAGAGCCTGAGAGTCCACATTCATTTTTTTAACTATATTTTTTATTTATTTCACAGAGGAAGGGAGAGGGAGAGATAGAAACATCAATGATGAGAGAGAATCATTGATCCACTGCCTCCTGCACGCCCCCTACTGGGAATAGAGACCGCAACCCAAGCATGTGCCCTTGACCACAATCGAACCTGGGACCCTTCAGTCCGCAGGCTGACCCTCTATCCATTGAACCAAACCAGCTAGGGCTAAAATATATCTTAACTGACCACGCTTCCCAACTCCTGCTACTACACAATCCAAATCATAAGCACTTCTTGCCTGGAGTATGGCAATGGCATCCTAATTGGTTTCCCTGAAGCCTGGCTTGAGGTTTGTTCTCCATGAAGCAACTAGAGTATTTATATTTTTAAAGTAAATTAGATATTTTTTCTTTTGCTTAAATACCTCAAGAGCTTTATGTCACATTAGGAACAAAGTCCTCAAAGACTAGTTTATCTGCCCTGACTTCTCCAGCAGCAACCACCCTCTCCAATGCTTACTTGATTCCAGCCACACTTCCTGCAGTTTCTCGAATAAGTCAAGTTCATTCCAGTCTCAAAGCAGTTCTACTTTCTGTTCCCTCTCCCTGGAACCCCTTGCCCTCTATTTCTCAAGGCTCACCTCTTTATATTATTTAGGCTTTTGCTCATACATCCTCTTCCTTGGAGTGGTTTTCTCTGACTGCCCTACATAAATATCCAAGTAGCGTCTTCTCCTTTGCCCAGTTGCTATTTATTTTTTAGCTTAATTTGTTTCTCTCAAAGCACTTAATGCTTTCAAATCTTTTATTTGGTTTTGTCCTTCCCAATAAACTGTAAGATCCTGAAAACAATGACTTCTTCTTGTTCACATTGTATCTTCACTTAAGATGTGCACCTAAGAGTATCTGACACTTTGTAGAAGTATCTGACACCTATAATGATGCCCTACTCCTATTTAGCAATATTTTGTGCTACAATTTAACATATAGACCAGGGTTGCTAGAAATTGACAGAGCCATACTAACCAAACATGAAACCATTAAGCTTTCCAAAGAGAAAGCAGTATCATAACATTTTTTTGGTCTCAGGTAAATCTAGGACCAAACCCTAATTCTAATTTTTTAAAAATATGTTTTATTGATTTTTTACAGAGAGAAAGGGAGAGGGATAAAGAGTTAGAAACATCAATGACAGGGAAACATCAATTCAGCTGCCTCTTGCACACTCCCTACTGGGGATGTGCTCGCAACAGAGGTATATACCCTTGACCAGAATTGAACCTGAGATCCTTCAGTCCACACGCTGACGCTCTATCCACTGAGCCAAACCAGTTAGGGCCCTAATTCTACCTTTTTTTTTAAAATATATTATATTGATTTTTCACAGAGAGGAAGAGAGAGAGATAGAGAGCTAGAAACATCGATGAGAGAGAAACACCGATCAGCTGCCTCCCGCACATCCCCCACTGGGGAAGTGCCCACAACCCAGGTACATGCCCCTGACCGGAATCGAACCCGGGACCCTTCAGTCCGCAAGCCGATGCTCTATCCACTGAGCCAAACCGGTTTCGGCCCTAATTCTACCTTTTATTAGCTGTATGATTTTATGAGGATTTAACTACTAAACATTCAATTCTACATCTGTAAGATGGGACATTATTGCTTAAGTGTTCCCCAGTGATTGGCAGATAAATACTAATATTTAGTGAGGTAAGTACTACTCCTATCCCCATTTTAAAGATGAAGACACTGAAGCTTAAACCATTAGACAGTAGATGGAAGAATTGGGATTTCAACTAAAAAGTGTGGTTATGAAACCATATCTCAAGAACTAGTTCAAGAAGGCAACATACAAGCATGGTTAAGGCAGAGAAAAGTTTCTAGAAATATTTGGTCGTTACACAAATAACATACTCAGATACATCCACATTGGATCTTAGTCTCATTTATTTAAAAGATTTAAAGTTCAGAGTAGTCTTTAAAATGGAAAAAATGAGAATAAACAATATTGTATCATATTAGTATACAAATGTTCCCATTTAACTTTAAATTCGTTTTTAGTACTTCTGTAAATTTACTTTCAGATCAGATTTTCATGAGGAAATCAGGGGTTGTTCAATGTATTGAAAGAAAATTCCACAGTGAGGGAATTTCACAGAATTGAGACATTTTTAAGAATACTATTACAACAGAGCGGAATCCTTTATTTGGGTGCACAATAAAACTTGCATATTTTTTTTAAATATATTTTATTGATTTTTTACAGAGAGAAAGGGAGAGAGATAGAGAGTTAGAAACATCGATGAGAGAGAAACATCGATCAGCTGCCTCCTGCACATCTCCCACTGGGGATGTGCCCGCAACCCAGGTACATGCCCTTGACCGGAATCGAACCTGGGACCCTTCAGTCCGCAGGCCGACGTTCTATCCACTGAGCCAAACCGGTTTCGGCAAAAAACTTGCATATTTTAACAGTTCAATCCTCTATCTCATCTTTGTTTAAATACAGCTGAACATACTGTACTTGCTCTCTCCTTTAAGTTGACAGGGTGTTCAATCCTGGATTAAGCAATAGTGCCATGAGAAACAAAACAATATAAATAAATTTTTAACATTAGAATTGTTAATATTTAACTTCCTTAACAAATAATATTACCATAGGAATGAACATGAGTATTTACTATGCTTCAATATTGCATTATCATTTTCAAAGTGACCTCACATATACTACCCTATACAAATATCACAATAGGACCCACATTTTTCCAACAAGGAAACAGACTCTTTAAGATGAACTTCTTGCTTAACACATTGTGGACCAGTAGTTTTATTGCTAGCTTACCCAGTAGCCAGATTAGTTTCTATTGAACGAGTACAAAAAACATTTTACATAAATGTTAAAGGCACGCTTTAACATTAAATACCCATTGCATTTTGAAGTTATTTATTACATGTTCTTACAAGCTAATATCTTTTTAAAGTATGATACTTTGTAAAACACTGTGTAATATGAAGCGAAAATTCTCGTGATCTGTCCGCAATGTGTGACGAATCACTCTGGGTGCAATAGGCCTGGTTTTAAACCAAGGTGTCTGCACTAAAAATCCAGGGCTTGCCCTAACCGGTTTGGCTCAGTGGATGGAGCATCGGCCTGTGGACTCAAAGGTCCCGGGTTCGATTCTGGTCAAGAGCATGTACCTTGGTTGCGGGCACATCCCCAGTAGGGAGTGTGCAGGAGGCAGCTGATCAATTTTTCTCTCTCACTGATGTTTCTAACTCTCTATCCCTCTCCCTTCCTCTCTGTAAAAAAATCAATAAAATATATTTAAGCCGAAACCGGTTTGGCTCAGTGGATAGAGCATCGGCCTGCGGACTGAGGGGTCCCAGGTTCGATTCCGGTCAAGGGCATGTACCTGGGTTGCGGGCACATCCCCGGTGGGGGATGTGCAGGAGGCGGCTGGTCGATGTTTCTCTCTCATCGATGTTTCTGACTCTCTATCTCTCTCTCTTCCTCTCTGTAAAAAATCAATAAAATATATTTTAAAAAAAATAATAATAAAATAAAATATATTTAAAAAAATTAAAATCCAGGGCTCTTCCTACTCTATCGCCTACTTTATAAGAGAAGTTAAGGTCATGTTTCATAGATCCTCCTGTAAACGTATAAAACGAAAACCGGTCATTTTGAAACAAATGGTTAAAAATATAATTTTAATATTTTATTTTTTATTTTCAAAAGCTCATAGAAGCATATAAAATGAAACAGTATCCACCCCATTTCCTGTGCCTGTACATTGCAGCTGGCAATTTGGTGTGCATTCTTCCATTTCTTTTTCTCCGTGGGTATAAAACTATATGATACATACAACATATACTCTATACATACACACTTGTTTTAAAAGTAAAAATTTTGATCATACAAACATAATCTGACAACTTTCTTTCTCATCACTATACCATTAAAAATACCACAGTGAAATCATGACATATTAATATTGTATATCAAATGGATTTCTTTATTGCACCAGCCTATCTAATATTCATCTCAACAACCTGACCCGAAATGCTCTTTCACTTTAAAAAAAGGTATCATTGTCAGCAAACCAGTTTAAAGCTGGGTGAAAGGGAAAGTAAACTGATAGTTGGGTAATATCACACACCAAAAATAACAAAACTTGGTGAATGTTACCCAAGCAAACTTAAAATAAATAACATAGGGGAATTTCAGAAATGTTCCTTCACTTAAATGCTTACTTTAGCAGTGGACTCAGAATTTGCTATCCTTACTCATATTTTTCCTAAAATTTGTAGCTTATTCAATTTCTATTATTTTTGCCTAGTTCTTTTCTCCTTTCCCTTTATTATATCTGTACTAGAGGCCCAATGCACAAAAATTCGTGCAAGAGTAGGCCTTCCTTCCCCTGGCTGCCGGCATCGGCTTCCCTCTGGCACTTGGGACTTGGGCTTCTCTCCAGCTGCCGGCAGGCACCCAGGACCCGGCTGCTTCCCTCTGGCTGCTGGCAGGCACTTGGGACTTGGGCTTCTCTCCAGCTGCCGGCAGGCACCCAGGACCCGGCTGCTTCCCTCTGGCTGCTGGCCGGCACCTGGGACCTGGGCTTCGCTCTGGCCCTGGCTTCATGTGGAAGGACGTCCAGAAGGACGTCTGGTCTAATTAGCATATTACCCTTTTATTATTATAGATATATTTCAGCATGTATCTAAAATTATACTTGCTCTTACCCCATCTGAAAATTTAATAGTTCCTGTATACCATCAAATATTCCCAAATTTTTAATTGTCTTATCTTAAAATATGGTTCACTTGCAATTATTGACATGATTAAAGTGCTTTCATTTGAAGCACCTCTAAATCAAGCACCTGGAAGTCACATACCACATACCTTTTTCTCTTTCAAAGTTTCAAGGATACATACATGGAAGATTCATCAAATTGAGAAAATTTTAATGAACTGGAAAACTGAACAAGAAAGTAGGGTTACATTAAAAAAATGTTTGCTTTGAATTAAGTCAGCTGCAAAAATAGCTAGCTAGCTAACAATACAAAGAACTACTGAAACTGAGTTGCTAAAAACAGATGTGAAAACAATAAACTAGATTCACTACAAATAAAGAAACCATCAGAAACATGTACAAACCAAGTCTATTTAGGGTGCAACTATTTAGGGTATCCACTTTCTGAATACCACAGGGAAAAGGAAAAGAATATGTGCATATCCTAAAGGTATAATACATAACTTCCTTCTTGGAGCTCAAAGCAAGTCGTCTTGATTTACAGTTGGACACAATGGAAGAAACTGCTCGTGGGTCCCGAATACCTGTAGTAGATGAAATTCAGAGAGAAAGAAAAAACATGGTACAAATGTCAATAGCTCTTTGACACCAATCATCTGGAAATAAAATTTTGAAACTCTACTTTGGGAGAAATGACCTATATGCAAGACATGAGTAGTTTTAGGGTTCTGTTTTCTATTCCCAATCCATACCGTCTCTTACACACTCCTCCTTTACAGTTCTTATTTATAAATGCATTCTACATTTTATTATATGTGTACATTTGTGGGCTTAATGAGGATATGAATGAACCTCTGTAAGTCCCTCAATATTGGTCTCTTTTTGGTCTGGTTTGTAGAGAGATCAAAAAGCCCAATTTTATTATTTCCACAAATTCCTCATAAATGAGCTTCTCACTCATCATTTCATGAATGTGATATTTTAATCATTTACAAGGGAATGTCAAAAAGACTTCCTACCAAAACTGAGAATATTTATTATTCATACAAAATGTTTAATAACCTTGGCTTAACATAAAAGACCCTGTTTATAGAAATACAGTTAATTGCAAATTTGTAGAGAAAACAACAAAAAACAATTTGTGGATAAGATCATTTTTTAGTACAGGTTTCCAAGTGTATAGAAAACATGATTTTAAATATTTGAATGCTCCCACGAACAATATTTTTCTACTTTACTTTAAAAAATGTAACTGATACGGAAAAATATATCCACTTATATTTAATAGCTCTTTTTCCTGTTTAGATACTTATTGCTGTTCCAGGGTCTGCCAAAGTTTGCCGGGGTCCAACCCCAGCAGGTCCAGGGGTTCCCAAAGGCGTAGACGGAGTCGGTGAAGAAGGACACGGAGACAGTGTTCAGTTGATCAGCAGCCTAGCCAGGATCTCCAGCCAGGATCTCCAGCCAAGTTCTGGTCTGGATCTCCAGAGAGGTTCTGCTGTTTATTGTCTTGTTACATGCGTGTTTATACCAGTTGATTTTAATCCTATCAATCACTATTACAAAGGTTAGGGCATTTCTTATCTCCATTCCAGGGAGTAAAGATTATGTAGCTTAAGCATGATTGTTTGTAGTTAAAGTGATTAACTACCCACCTGGCACTTAGTTAAGGAGTTTCATCCCCTCCCTGACTTCAGGGAAAAATCCCTACCTGGGGAAACAAGCTTTCTCGGAGAGGTGACCTTGGTTAAAACACACAGCGCTAAGGGGAGCAAACATATTAAGAACAGTATGCTATATATGCCAGGTCCCTTGAAACATATGCTCTGCAGATGTTTCTATCCTGCAGCGACTGTGTCAAGCAGCAAGGATGGACCGGCTTCCGGCAAAAGTTGGCACCTCAATTCTTATAAGAAGACCTTTAACCTTCCCACTCTCATGGAATACTTGGATGTACTGGATTCTTGGCCCCAGATCCTGTCACTGCCTATGTTTTTTTCCAAGAGTTTTATGGTTCCAGATCTTACATTTAAGTCTTTTTTTTTAATATATTTTTATTGATTAAGATATTACATATGTGTCCTTGTCCCCACGTTACCCTCTACCCCCCCCCCCACTCATGCCCTCACACCCCCCCCCCCCGTTGTCCGTGTCCATTGGTTAGGCCTATATGCCTGCATGTAAGTCCTTTGGTTGATCTTTCCCCCTTACCCCCACCCTCCCCTACCCTCCCTCCAAAGCCCGACAGTCCAATCAATGCCTCTCCGTCTCTGGATCAGTCCTTGTTCATCAGTTTATGTTGTTCATTATATTCCACAAATGAGTGAGATCATGTGGTATTTATCCGCTCTCCAGTTCCATCCATGCTGTGGCAAATGGTAAGAGTTCCTTTTTCTTCTTCCTCTTCTTAAAGAATACCTTTCAGCATTTCATATAATGCTGGTTTGGTGGTGATGAACTCCTTTACCTTTTTCTTATCCATGAAGCTCTTTCTCTGACCTTCTATTCTGAATGATAGCTTTGCTGGATAAAGTAATCTTGGTTGCAGGTTCATGCTATTCATCACTTTGAATATTTCTTGCCACTCCCTTCTGGCCTGCATGGTTTCTGTTGAGAAATCAGCTGACAGTCGTATGGGTACTCCCTTGTAGGTAACTGACTGTCTTTCTCTTGCTGCTTTTAAGATTCTCTCTTTGTCTTTTGCTCTTGGCATTTTAATTATGATGTGTCTTGGTGTGGTCCTCTTTGGATTCCTTTTGTTTGGGGTTCTCTGCGCTTCCTGGACTTGGAAGTCTATTTCTTTCACCAGGTGGGGGAAGTTTTCTGTCATTATTTCTTCAAATAGGTTTTCAATATCTTGACCTCTCTCTTCTTCTGGTACCCCTATAATTCTGATGTTGGTACGCTTGAAGTTGTCCCAGAGGCTCCTTACACTATCTTCATATTTTTGGAATCTCTTTTCTTTTTTCTTTTTCGATTGGGTATTTTTTGTTTCTTTGTATTTCAAATCTTTGACTTGATTTTTGGGATCCTCTTGTCTGCTGTTGGATCTCCGTAGATTATTCTTTATTTCAGTCAGTGTATGCTTAATTTCTAGTTGGTCCTTTTTCATGTCCTCCATGGTCTCACTATACTTATTGAGGGACTCATTAAATTTATCGGCGATTTCCATAAAATTCTTGAAAAACCTTATAAACGTGGCCTTGAACTCTATCCAGTCGTTTGCTTTCCTCCATTTCTGCCATTTGTGACCTGTTTCTTTGTCTCCGCATTTTGGCTGCTTCCCTGTGTTGATAGAGTGGCTTTGTGTGCTAGGTGTCCTGTAGGGCCCAGTGGCTCAGCCTCCCCAGTTACCTGAGGTGGACACTCTTGGTGCACCCCCTCGTGGGCTTTGTGCACAGTCTTGTTGTGGCTATGCCTTGGTTGTTGAAGGATCACTGGGAGGAATTGACCTCCAGGGCAATTGGCAGCGAGAATCAGCTGTGTCTGCAGTGGGAGAACTTCTGTGCTGGAGACACCCTTCTGGGGCAAGACTTGCTTCAGTGGGGATTTGGTGCTCACTGAGACTGCACCCTGAGTGTGTCCCTTAGGGATCTGAGGAGTTGTGATCTGGATGGTTCCCCTCTGACCACTGGGTACAGTGGCTCTTGGATCTAAGGAGGTGCTAATTTAGCCTCTGCCTGAGGTTACACAGCAGGAACTACAAAGAGAACTGCAGATTCCCCTTCCTTTTTTTTGGAGTTTGGAAGTGCCCTGATGATGCTCAGCTGTGTAGCAATGCAAGCCGCTGTGGGGCCTTGGGCCTTCTCTTGGAAGCTCTGGGTCTATCTGGCCCGGCTGCGGTTAGGTAATTACAGGTTGCAAATGGCCGGGGCATTCATATGCAAAAGTCTCTGCCACAGCCTGGGTGGGGCGGGGTCTCAAGAAATCAAAGGGCGGAGAAAGCAGCTATGGCAGAGCCTCAGCCCTGCCCTAAGGAGTCGCGAGTCCCAGTGTCCCGGCAATGGCTGCAAGCACCGCTGAGGGAAAGCCGCTCTCAAGCTCGCCTGCTGCCAGACAGTCCAGTATCTCCCCGTATGAGTCCTGGGTCCCCAGAGACTTCCCGGAACCAGATTTCAGAGCCGTCGGGAGCTTGTGTCTCCCTCCGGATTCAAAAAGACAGCCGCGTCCTCAGGTGCCAGACCCTTTCCGCGCGAGCCCCCGTACCTCTGCACTCCACCTCCGCAGCTCCTCCCGCTCGCAGTGTGCTTTTCTTTCCTTCTAGTTGTAGAATTTACACTCAGCCAGCCCTCCTGTAGTTCTGGATGATGTCCACCTTGTGTTTTTGATGCATTTATCGATTGTTGTGGGAAGCACCAATTTCCCGGTGTTTATCTATGCCGCCATCTTAGTTTCTCCCTTACATTTAAGTCTTTAATCCATTGAGTTTGTTTTATATATGGTGTAAGAAAGTGGTCCAATATAATTTTTTTGCATGTATCTGTCCATTTTCCCCAACATCTTTACTGCATTATACATCGTTGCCTCCTTTGTCATAGATTGACCATACAAGTGAGGTTTTATTTCTGGGCTCTTTATTCTATTCCATTGATCTATTATGTTTTAACACCATACTGATACTACTTTAGTGTTGTTGTTGTTTTTTAATTTCAACTTATAATTGTTTGTTGCTAGAACATGAGCATTTTTAAGGCTCTTGGTATACTGTCCTTTTTTAAAAAAATCTTTTTCTTTTAATCGATTTCAGAGAGAGCAAGGGAGAGAGGTAGAAATGTCAACGATGAGAATCATTGATAGGCTGTCTCCTGCATGCCTCCCACTGGGGATCACGCATGTAACCAGGGCATGTGACCTGACGGGAAATCGAATCATGACCTCCTCGTGGTTCATGGGTTGATGATCAACCACTGAGTCATACCAGCAGAGCAATACTGTCCTTTTTTTAAAGGTCATACCAATTTACATATCCAACAACATATGAGTGCCTATTTGACACTTTAAGCACTGACCTTATTTAAACACTAGAGGCCCAGTGCACAAAATCTTGCATGGGTGCGGTCGGGAGGAGGAGGTGGCGGGAGGTTGGCCAGTTGGCCCACCCAGATCGGGCCCTATCAGGGCTGGATCGGCTGGGGGAAGGGGCCACAATCGATTGGCTGGCTGGCCCCGCCCTCAAATGGGGTGGGTTGGGGGTGCCAATCAGGGTCCAGCAGCCTGGGGGAGGGGCCATGGGTGGTTGGCCGGCCAGCCCCACCCCCTACTGAGGTGGGGTGGTGACCAGGGGCGGTGCTGGCCAGGGGGAGGAGCTACAGGCGGATCAGGTGGTGGAGGCCCATAGAGGGCATGGCCTGCCAGGGGAAGGGGCTGCAGAAAGTTGGCTGGACAGCCCCGCCCCCTACTGGGGTAGGGGGTGTGATCAGGAGTGGGGTGGCCAGGGGGTCTGCAGGAGGTTGGCTGCCCAGCCCCGCCTCCTATTGGGGTGAAGGGGTGCAATCAGGGGTGAGCCGGCCAGGGGGAGGAGCTGTGGGCCTGTCTTGGTGGGGCAGGCTGATCGGGGGCGCGGCTGGCCGGTGGGGAAGAGAGG